GCCCTAAACCCCGGTTCATGGATTTTGTTTCGGTTCGATTGCATATTCCGAAAAGGAGTTGCGATGGGGTATTGTCCAATCCATGCGTGCTGAACCTGCTAAGACTTGGATCTTTCTTCGACTATGCTGACTATACACTTGACATTGCACATCTTTACACAGAGTGTCCTGGCAAGCTTTCCGACACGACTCTAGACTCTAGACTCTAGACTTTCTCACTCTAGATGTCTTTGGGAACTTCTGGAAGACCGACAACCTTCTGCTCGATACCCTGTATCTCTTGCCCCAGACGTTGACCTGCCAGGGTGTACGTGAACCTCTTCCGGCGAGACGTGTACACGGTGGACGATTGCGAGAAGTTCAAGGCCATCGTGCAGGCTCGCGCTAGTGACCGGATCAAGCGTTTGTGATCGTTGCTGAGTTCATACTGGCAGAACTTGCCGAGCAGGTAGTAAGGTACCAGGTGCGTGCAATTAGGGTAGACCCAGAAAGCCCAATACCCCTTAAATAAGGAATATACCTCAAACTATAAGGGCGTTAGTATTATGATTTAAAGTATACTCCTTAACATTCATTAAGGGGTATTGGGCTCTCTGGGGACGGTTACAGACTTTGTTAGTTAGACCTCAGTCAAAATCTAGTCAAGTCGAGTCTTGGTTGAAACCGCTACCTTGGACCCACGGACGTAACCGCAAGATCAGATAGAGACTGTGTGTGTTTCATTGTTTGTCTGTCTGTTTGTTTGCTTGTTTGTTTAACTGTGTGTTTGTTATGTGTTTGCATGTCTATATGTGTGTTTGTGTCTGTGTGTGGGTTTTACCTGTAGTGTTTCTGCGTCTGTTTCCACACAAGTCTGGGCTAATGCGAGTCTCTCTGTTATGTCTGACTGCCTGTCTGTCTCTCTGTCTGTCTGTGTCTTTGCCTCCGTCTGCCCAAACCTTGAACTCCCAAAGCTCTCAAGCTGAGGCCTGTGGATACCGCATTAAATCAGGGGCCCGAGCCCAACACTTTAAGCCCTGGGTCATACAGCCTAACAACTTTAGCAATTGAATGTCGCAGGGTGTCGTGGACCGCCAACGACAACTGCAGACTCCCAAGCCTGTGGAGTCCATCCTGTACCATGGACGATCTCCGCTTCTCAAGCTGGAGCTCAAACGGTGGGCCGAGGTCGATCTTGCTTTTTAAGTGCTGCTGGTGCTTCTGCTGGTTGTTCTTCTCTCCGGTGTATGAGTACAGTCGGATGTCCAACAATGTAGCAGATGTAGCACGTAGGTAGAGCAATCCTTTGGTGTCAGGGAAGGGAAGACAGTTTCGCGGACAGTTTCATGCAGGGTCCCAGGTTAGACTCGGTAGACTCGGTTGGACGAGACAGGCAAGAGGCAGAGTCGTGAAGGATGAACCAGACGGGAGCCAAAGCCCCCAACTGCCAGCCGAAATCTCAGACCCAGGGGCCGGAGACGTAGCAAACAGGCCAGAAAAGAAATTGAAAACCAGAGTCAAGGTAGCAAACGTGTTGAAAAAATTGAAAAAGAATTGAAAAAAAACAAAAGTCCAATTGAAAATGCAATCGGAAACCAAACCAGAAAAAAATTGAAAAACACGGTGTAATTTTCAATTTTTTTGCGATTTGCGCACCCGGGTCACCAGACACCCCATAGCCAGCCAAATCAGAAAAAATTGAAAAACACAGTGTGTTTTGCAATTTTTCCAATTTTGTTCGAATGGCCGTTTCGGCCTCGGTTTCCGGTGCTCCCGCAACACCCGGCAGCAACCCAGCCACGAACCACCTCTACTACCCATCCCCTCCGCCTCGACCCATCCTCCGACCACCCTCCCACCCTTCATCCGCTGGTGACAGGAGCGACATAGCCGGATGGGCAGGCTGAGGCGTTCGGGGCAACGAGATGCAATCGATGATAGGGCTTGGAAGCAGCAGGAGAAGGCGTGGCGGCTTAAGCTGGGCATTTCAGCGGACTGGAAGCCCTTCGATGCTCTGAAGCTTCAGATTCGAGGGTGGCATCACGTGTCGTGTCGTGAAAGATGCTTGCTCAATTTGGTCGCTGCAGAGAAGGCCTTAGAGGCCGCAGCTATCCCACGGACCAAGGCGAGCATGAAGGCTGCCATGTCCCACACCATTCTGGATCTTTCCCAGAACCCAGGCAGACGGCCTTTTTCCAGCAAGGATGGTGAGCATCGGGTGCTTACGACATCCACCGTGCAAGTCCACATGGGCAAGTGTAGAGTCATAACTCCACGCGAGATGATGTATCAACAAGGGCACAGCAGAAGGCTGATAGTGCCGGAATGCATGGGCCAGCAGTCGCTTCGCCGGCTGGCTGGAGAAGGAATGGCCCTGCCATGTTTGGCGACATGCTTGTGGGCACAGAGCTTGCTCAAAAGCTATCCGTGAGGAGCCCGAGTAGTGAAGCTAGTCAGCTAGTCAGCTACTTACTGCCTCTCCTGACGCTTGACGTGGTAGGACTCCCAGGCCCTGGGTCTAACCTTGACGTGGTAGGACTTCTAGGCCTAACCTAGACGTCTCGAGGATCCTGCTGGCCATGACTCATGATCATGACTTTCCCCGGGTGCAGTTATGAAACTAGACCGAAGTAGGCGGCTAGGCTGAGCAAGCTCTGCAAGCTCCTTCGTCTGGTAGTCACCGAGTCGGAAGGGTGGGCCCTATGCCTTATGCTGCCTTAGGCGGCTCCACTCATGTAGCATGCCATGGCTAGATTCCAACTAGATTCTAGATTGCTAGATTGGTTGTTCCGAATTGTTGTGTGGCATCCAGAAGTCATGTCTGTGTGTACAGGTGCTGTGTCGGAATGGTGGAGCCCGTATCCTCGTAAGCGGTAGCAGCTAGCAAATTGTGATAGGAGTTCTGCTGTGCTTGAGTGACATGGGTTTCGGGTTGACGAGAACATCGGTTGGGTTATTTATTCACAAGCTGGAATCCGGACACCATCGTTGCTTGAGTCAAACAGCCGCTCGGTGTGCTAAGGATAAACCCGTGCGGGTCTCGTGTGTTGATCCTGGCCTTGCCGATTTCTAGGCCCATTCTAGGCTTCTGTTGGGCTACTTTGACTACTTGGAGGGGTAGGGGACGTACTTAGTCGGTCATACGTAGGGTTATACTTGGGGTAGCTCCATTTAGGGTACTTATATCTCGACCTATAAACTACTTACTAAGTCCCCTGGGCCTCCAAGTTAAGTGTACTTACCGAATCAGTGGCCGTGTGATTTTGGGCCAGCCCTTCTGCAGCCTGCAGCCATATTGGCGGTCTGGCAGAAACTAGTACCACCAGCAGTCACTAGCTAGTACAGACTTAGCTGAGAGTTGTTTTGTTCTAGGCCTTTTGGCATCAGGAGTTGCTCTGTCATTGCAACAGGATCCAGTGGGTGAGGAACCTCATTGAATCTATTGCTAGGCCTGTGTTGCAGTTGTTCGGGTTGAAATGTTCATCCTGGGATTCTAGCATTCTGGAACTCTAGAACTTGAAGCGATCCTGTGCATTGGCTGATGCTCCAGTAATCTGCACCGTAGTGAGTAGTGTCACTGCACTGTAGCTGCTACAGCGCTGCAGTGACAGATTGTGGCTGCACCTGCCAGTGCACACACACACACACACACTTTCTGTTGCAAAGCTTGACGCCGTAGCGTGGTGGCAGGCAGTCAGGACTTTCTGTGAAAGCACTTTGGTCCTTAGTGGTCCCATTGAGTCCTGGTCCCTAGACTTAGTGGATGGTGGAGTGCACGGTCAGAGTGGCTTTGTAGGAGAGGATGTTTTTTGCAAGGAGCCTGTTGCCATCGGGCGTTGTGTGAGTGCGCAGCAGCGAGCGGAGGCCCGGGGTCGTGCGAAGCCTTGAATAGCTTGTCCTGCAACTGCTCCAGTCTAGACTCTGGACTCTAGAGTCTAGAGTTTAGCTCTAGAATGACCCAGAGAGCCCAATGCCCTTAACTTCGGAATATATCTTAAGTTATAGGGATTATAGGGGCCTTAATATTATGATTTAATGATTTAAAGTATATTCCGTAATTAAAGGGTATTGGGCTCTGTGGGTAGGTTCTAGATTCTAGATTCCAGGTGTTTCACCAAATCATCACAGAAGACCCGGTGTAGTCGCGCCATCCCCAAGATTCGATTTGGAACATTTGCGCATTCCAGAATACTGTATACTACTGCAACGGATTTCTGCCTGAGTTCAGGGACAGTGTTATCGACCCTGTCGTTCAGCTTGCCACAATTCAGCAGTGAAGACCTATCGGACCTGCAGGACTCAGGTCCTAGGTCCTGCGTTTTCGCTCTAGGAGTCTCTGTGCCGACAAAGCCACGGACGTGCCGGTGGCTTCTGCTTCGTTGACGCATTACTGCTACAGTGTCACTACAGTCACTACAGTGTCACTTCACTACAGATTCCAATGTGTTTCAGATTGCCGCTGTGATTGAGAATGTAGCAGCATGTCGCAAATTTGATAATTTAGTAATGCAGCACGCTTGGGAGGATACGAAGCTTCAGGCTGTCTGTGTGTGTGTGTGAGTCTCGAGTTTTTTTGGTCGTAGAACGATGGCCAGGGAGTGGCATCAATCGCTACAATCTGTGCTTGGCTGTTTTTTGGATTCTGGTGCTCATGCGATTCCGGACAGTCGCAGAGAATGACGACATGTGACGACACCGCAGTTGCACAGTGGCGTGTGCACAGACAGCATGCATGCAGAGGAACGAGTGAAAACGTTGTGCTTCGTAGTGGCTTAGTGCCTCGTGAACCTGGGGATGGACCTGGTGACCTAGTGACTCATAAAAGAATGCTTGCTGAAAGTTTCATACTCAGACTTGACGGTGTTTGGCATCGGTCAATGAAGCACGGACTGCCCCTGCAGTGTCGCATGTTGCACACATGGAGACACTGGTCGATGATTCGCTCCTCTTGAACATCCGTTGTGCAGGCTCCGTCAGCCGGCTCGAGGTTCAGGTGAGTGAGGTTGGAGGCTTTTCCAGCAATGGCTGGAAAAGCCAGGGTCGCGACCAAGGCCAAAGCCAAAGCAGCTGCTGGGAAGACTTCGAAGAAGTCAGCTCAGCAAGGAAAGAAATCCACGCGCAAGGAGGTGAGTGGCTAAACAGTCTTACAGCACAGTCGGTCTAGTCAAGTCAAGTCAAGTGACTCTAGTCCTGCTTGCGGGAAGAGACCTCCGAGGGTTTGTCGTAACCTCATAGTCATAGCCTTTGTGTCGGTGTCATCGTCACGTGCGATAGGACAGGACTAGTCAGTGAACTCTGCGGGGTCGTTGCCTCCGAACCGAAATAGTCATAATATATTTTCTCTAGTAAGTCTAGTAACAAAATTTGTACGGCTGTAAGGGGCAACAACAAGATCCTTGTTGTACGCTGATCCTGCTCTTACTGACAGGCAGGGCCGAAGTCTGCGGGCCCAGATCGGGGCCGTCCCACCGCCAAAGTGGCTGCGAAGCACAGGGCTGAAAAGCACAAGGGTCACAAGGGCAAGAACGGTGGCAGCAAGAAGCAGAAGCAAGCTTCGAAGTTGAGGGCCAAGCAGTGGCAGCCGTGCAAGTTGTGTGGCCGAACGCCGGAGGACAGATTGTGTTTTTTTGTTTAACTGCTGCTTAGGAAAACAAGTGAACAGTGTTTCGATTACAGATCAGGCGGTCGGCGGCTATAGTAAGCTAGTGAAGGCAGCTAGCAGACTAGCAACTAGCAACTCGCGGCTATGAGCTGGAGCTGCAGAAGGTCACTAGTCACTAGTCAGTCACTAGTCACTATAGGGCTGGGGCCTTTCATCAGGAAGTGAAGAAGGATGGCGAGCTCTGGGGCCAGTACGACACGTCTGGCCAGCCAGTTGGAGCTGGCTGCAGGCTGGACCTGGAGACGCTGGTAGAGGGCTGGCCGGGGATCTCGCTGGAGAGTGCGGCAGAGATGTTGCACTCAAGAGAGGCAAAGACTGCGGGGTTTCGACAGGAGTTTCCGAAGGCCAAGCGGATCAAGAAGGATTCTGGAGTTTTGAAGTCGCGGTTCAACCCAGCTTCTTCTGTGAGGACCCAGAAGTTTCGCTTCCGCATGGTGTACCACGACACCGCTTTCTTAACAGACTCCGAGCTCCAGAACTTGACCGACGTCCCCGTGGCCGCTTTGAAAGTGAAAACACACAGAGGGGCGATCCAGGTGGAGGACCGGTCGGAAACGGTTCAGGGCACGTTCCTCTCGCTCAAGGGCATGCCGGAGGATGTCCGTTCGTGGGTTCGCAAGGTGAGGCACGGCTACGTGACTCAGGTCTCCCATGACGAGGACCGATTGGTCCCAGACAGGCAGATCCGAGCGGAGCAGGGGAATCTGTTGTTCGACTTTTTCTCGGACAAGATGAGGGAAAGCGCGGAGAAGGCCTGCAGGACCAAGCACCGCCCCAGCCTGCCAGAGCTCTCCACCTTGCTTCAGCAGGCTGCGGCGTACAGACAGGACCGGAGAGCAACGTTGGGAACGGTGGGACTGGTGCTCTTGGGCCTAGGGCCTAGGGCCTAGGGCGGCAAGGGCTGCTGGGGCGTGGTATCGGGTATCGCAATTTTGGAATAGTGAAGGCCAGGGCCTTGGTGAGTGGCTACCACTACCAGTTTCGACATTTGGGTGGATTCCGATTGTTCATGGATTTGGCATATCTCCAAACCAAGGGCAGTGTTGTGGTGTAGCCACAATAGACATCGTACTCTGTTGTAGTGACCAGGGTGTCGTGTGTTGAAGTGTAGCACACAGTGGAGTGTGGAGTCGTGTCGTATTCAAGGTCGACTGCGATGGGCTCTGGCTTGCGCATTTAGAAATTTAGAGCCTGCATTGACGTCCGCAGGAGAATGTCGCTGACGTCCCCGGGGACGCCGAGGAGGACATTGCCGAAGGCGAGCAGGGTGAAGAGGAGGACAAGGAAGAGGACCCTGTTGTCTCCGAGGGTGAGGGCCCGGACGCTGTCGCGCGCAGCCAGGCCAGCAAGCAGATCTTGGTTCAGCCAGAGATGACTGCAGCTCCCAGCCTGGAAGCTGGATCCTTTGACGTGCCGACAAAGGCCTCCTCGACCAGGCAGATGGGCTCGAAGTCTGGAAAAGGCGCCAAGAAGAAGAAGGGCGAGACTGTCCTGGAAGGCGACAAGTCCGAGCTAGAAGCAGAGGAGGCTGCAGAGGTTGAGACTGGGGATACACCTCAGTGGATGCTGGCTGACCCCATCCTGAGCCAGGTCATCAGGAAGCTGAAGGGCAAGGTGTACAAGTGCTTCCACAGCTTGAACCCTGCCCAGCACCTGGAAAAGCGGGTCGCTTTGGGGCATCAGTTGCAGGGTGCTTCTTGGTTGCAATGTGCACGGGTAGCCGGCTATAACATAGAATAGAATAGAACTCCTCCTCGTCTCCTCGGTTCATTTTGTTCACCGGCCGATGTGTCTGTGGACCTGGTGGTAGTCTGGTAGTGTAGTCGTGAGTCATTGAAGTGACGTGTTGAGTGCCAATGCAACGTATGCGGGCGCCCGGTAAGCCCCGTAGGGCCCTTAGGCAGTAGGCCGCAGGAGCCCGCACAAACCATACAGGCCCGAAGATCTCTGGTGTCGCTGCTAACGGAGCTGACGGGGTAGCTATTGTTTTCTTGGTACTGCTTATGGGTTTTCAATTAACACATATTGACACCCTCGCCGTGCTCCCCCCTTCCTGCTGATGTGGCTGGCTGTGCTGTTGCAGCGCAGAATGAGCACGTCAGGGGTTGAGACCGGTTGACAAAGCCTGCGCCCTGCGCTAAATCATTGAGTCATTGAGCCCAGAGCTCCAGGGATCGGCACACCCAACCACATCAGCAACGGAGGGGAATGAGAGATGACAATGAGAGCCCCAGGGAGCAGGCAGTAGCAGCTGCAGCTACTGTACGTATGCGACTTAGAGCAGGGCTTGCCGTGTGTTGTTGATCCATCAAGGCCAGACGGGTCGCCGACACCATGAAGGGCCAGAAGGCGAGCCAGCATGCTCTTTTGACATCCCGAGTGGATCTGATGGAGCACATCGACAAGCTCGTGATCCCACCGGGCGCCATCGCGAAGATGAGTGTGCCGGCGCTTCTTGCGAGTCTTCACAAGCTGAAGGATGAGGATATCGAGCTGCCGTTTGACCTACGCCTCCTGGTGTTGGAAAGGTTCACTGCCGAGGCCCTGGACGAGGTCGTCGACTCCGCGGCAGCAGAAGACAAGAAGGTCAACAAGGCCTTGGGCAAGTGGCTCAGCTACTGCAGTGTCAGCCCTGCCAGCTTCGAGACAAAGACGGCGTGCGAGATCGAGCCTACGTTTGCCTGGGCCTACCAGCGCATGAAGGACGAGCTGGCATTCGCCCTGAAGACGAAGAAGCTGGCTGAGGCAGAGCACCAACAGGAGGTGAAGGACAACGACGAGGCCAGGAGTGACATTTGGATTCGGATATAAGATGGGATAGGTGGATGCGAAGTACGCAAGTTCGCTGCTCATTCAGACTTGCACGTGGTTTTAATTGTTGGCTTTTTTGTGTACGTCTGAGGTGTTAATCTGCTGCAATCCGCTGGCCAAGAAACCATCTTACCAGTCCGTGAAGGCTTGAGCACACTTATGCTACAGTGCGCCTGCCTACAATGCTTGAGTGAGTACCATAAAGGTCTATATGCATGCTATACTGCTATACTACACTACTTTATATACTATACTAAATACTGTACTATATACTAGACTGTATACTGTATCATATACTGTGCCATGTTAGATACTATACTAGACTAATTCAATAATTTAATATTCCATATTAGTGTACTGTACTATAGTATAGTATAGTATAGTATAGTATAGTATACCATACTATACTGCATTGCACTGCACTGTACTGTACTATACTAGACTAGACTAGACTAGACTAGACTAGACTATACTGTACTATACTTTATATATATATATACTGTACTATACTAGACTATCCGGAGCTACTCGGTTTCATTAGACTAGACTCTATATAGTACATAATTCTTCTCCATCAGATGCTATCGTATACGAAATCATTTTGAACCATATACAGTACTATGCCTTACCACCATACTACCATGCCATGCCATACCGAACCATAGCATACCATGCCACACCATCCCAAAACGTACTTCACTGTACTATGCTTTGATGCTACCTTAATGTATTTTACTCGACCCTAGCCAAGAGTACTATAGGGTCACTAGACTCACTAGACTGTACGACCATAATAACAGAAGCTTTGTTCAAAAACTATCAGGTACCTCCGGTTCAAGTTTTGCCGATCCGAAGGTGATAGCCGAATCTTTGATCGATTGCTTGGCGAGCGAGCAGTTCTTCAGCCTCCTGTCAGCACCGGACAAGAAGGAGAACCGCAAGAAGCTGCAGCTCATGTGTGAGAGCTTCTTGAAGGCTTTCTTTGAGTCCAAGGAGAAGAACATCTACCAGAAGTTGCCCGACGTGGTCAGCCGGGTCCTGGAGACGTTCCGACGCTGCTGCAGTGCATGTGTTGCACTCCTGCACCCACGACCCGGCCATGCAGGTTCAGATTCTGCAGATGCTGTTAGCATCACTTCCAGCGCAGGACAGGATGCGCTTGGCAAGAGGTTGCGCAAGCACTTCACGGAGCAGGGAAGTGTGTGGCAGAAGCTGTACGACGACCTTTTGGCCAAAGGCCAAAACACCATCACTTTGATCCCGATGCTGGACAAGTTGACCGAGCAGCTCAGCAATGTGACTTTGGACGAGGACGACGCCAACAGCATCGTGAAGCATGTGGACCATGCCTTGCTTCGGAGCTGTGTAGAAAACCGTCCCAAGTTTGAGAAGCAAATGCGGAGCGGCCTCTTGGGCCCCTTCGATGTGCAACTCTGTCGAGTCACTTTGCTGTTGGCAAAGGCCATCCCATGTCACTCAGCCGAGCAGTTGGCACAGCTGAACCCGAACTTGGACGTGGATGATGTCAGTCAGGCTTTGGACTTGAACCTTCAAGCTCCAGGTATCCCGGAGGCCAAGAAAGCCTTGACCGCCTGGCGCCAGCGTGAGAAGGGATTCTTGAAGATGCTCGATTTCAAAAAGCTTGTTGACTATTTCCCTGCCATCGGCGAGGATTTGCCTGAGGACTTTGGCTTTCTCTACCACGGCAAGATGCTCCTGGACGGCATCAACGAGGTCCCGGCAGATGTGATGGGCAAGGATACAGCCAAGAAGCATGCGTGTGGAAGGGCTTTCTTTCACCTCTTCGATGCTTTGCTCAAGGACAGGAGATGGTTCTCACGACTGTCGGTTCAGAGTGAAGAGTCAAGAACCCTAAATGAAGAATGTAGAATGTAGAATCGAGTGTCGAACCTAGGACCTAGGACCTAGGACCTAGGACCTAGGACCTAGGCCTACTTGGAGCTTCATGGGTAGACATAAATAGGGTTATAAGTAGGGCAATTGTAGTTATAACCTATATTAGGGGACTTATAACCCTACTTATACGTACCCATGAACCTCCAAGTAGGGCGGCCTAGGGCCTAGGACTTCTAGGCGTCTAGGACCTCGGACCTAGGGCCTGAGACCTATAGGAGTTAGGTAAGCACTATCACCACAAGAATACATAGAACCCAGAATCCAAAGCTTTGCTTGACATTGTCGGGCTGCATGTACCTAAAATCGTAGGCCTTGGCACTAAGTCACTATGTCCAGGTTCGAGGCCATTTAGTCATCTGTTGTGTATCCGAAGTGTATCCCAGCCTGTGGGCCCAAGTCTTCCCGTGTGCACCATTGGCTTGTAAAAAAACGCCCTCAGACTGTGTACAGTATACAGTGTACAGGCACTGTGCGACTGTACGATCCCGTGAAGCGGAGACGCTCCGACCGCGTGTAGTCAGTGTAAGTGTAGTGTAGTCTTCTAGTTCGTCATTACAGAAGTCATATCATTTAATCAGTGTAGTCATGGCTGCCATGCTGTTCCGGGTCACCCTTGAACCATCACGGTTGTTCTTGTTGTGTTGCTCGACTAGAACTAGAGCTGATTTGGGAATTCTCGAGTAGAGTAGACGCTCTGCTTGCCGAGGGAACGGGGTGGTTTGAATGCAGCCTCAGACTCAGACTACCGCCTCAATCCAATTTCGAGCCCTCTCGAGAGCAAAGTCTTATCCGGTTATCGTGAAGGTACATTGGTGCGCCTGGCCAAGAGCTGGTTGTATTGGTTTCATTGTTGGCTACTTACTTCGAGGATTCGAGGGATTGAGGGTTTCAGCTTGAGTGCAGGGTGCATGTCATGAATGCGTACAGGAGAACGATCCGGCAGCCAATTGGTCGGCTGAGATGAAGCACGTGCTGAATGGCTTGGGCAGGGCAGTACACCACGTGGGTCATCCGTGTGCCAAATTGGTCGAGGAGATCGCGACCACCATCTCTTGTGCCATCGACTTCATCGTCCAAGTCGGGGTCCTTCGTCAGTTGGGCCAGGATGCGGCGGGGCGAGTCGAGGCCGACAGCTCTGGTGGAGTGCTCGCAACGGTTTTGCTGCAGGCCAGCAAACTGACCCCCACTGCCAACCGCTCCCAGAGCCAGGCACTGGTGCCATCGAACCCTGGAGAGGAGGATGTGACCGCCTTGACCAACCTCTCCACGGACCCGGTCATTGAACGGTTGATCCAAAGCGAGGAGTTGTTGCAATGTGTGCGGATCAAGGCTGAGCGCTTCGAGGCATCCATCGAAGATGCTTACCAGAAGCTCACCACGAGCACTCAGAACCGCCACAAGGGTGCAGCAGCCTATTGGAGGACTGGGCTAGCCGATGATGCAGCGCTGGACGTGGTGCTGCAGTGTGCCAAGGAGCACATCGACGACATCGATGGGGACGCGGCAGAGAGCGAGCACGACAAGCTGTCGGAGGCAAACCTGTGTCTAAGCCTAAGCTGTAATCATTCATCCGTCCTGAATCGAGATTCGCCAACAAGGATGCCTTACCTTACTGTGCAAGGTTTCTTGGGAATGGTCTTCAGATCCTAGAATTCTAGGAGAAATAAGCCCCAATAAACGGGTATTGGGGCACCGAAGCCACACTCTCTCTGATGTCTCATGCCGCAACCCCAAAGGCCTAGGCCCTAGGCTTGGGCGGGAGGCTGGCCCAGACAAGTGTCACATCATATGCAATGTTGAAGCCTCGACCTCCGTTGACTCTAAGACTCTAAGTCTCTAAGTGAATTCTATTGAATCTATTGAGACTTTATTGAATACCCTATTGTTTTATAGATTCTAGGTTCAAGGTTGTAAATGTTTTAGTGCAGGTTCCCCTAGCCCTCACCACATTAAGTCCTTAAGCCATCAGTAAGCTCAGTAAGCAGTGTCGATGGCGTCCCCCCCTGAAAGGTGCTAAATCAGGCCGACGAGTTCGTGGCGAAAGCTGCCGGCTACAACGCCTACGTGCCGGTGCTTCGGGATCTCAGTGCCCTCATTGGCACCACCAGGGTGATGGCAAAGAGTTGCCGTGCACTGATGTGTGAGTCCTTGCTGGCGTATGCCCACAACCACTGCGAGTCATTGGAGTGGCAAGCCAGGCTGGTTCGCACGCAGTTGACTGACATCATGCTTCGGCAGATCGAGGAAAAGGACGTTCACCCCGTCCTCCTTGCATCTGCGAAATCCATTGTGGAAGAGTCCTCCAAGAAGTCCGAGCCGAAGAAGGGTGACAAGCAGCCGCCAAAAAAACCCAACGCTGAGCCCTCCGAGATCCGCGAGCAGTCCGAACCAAAGAAGCTACGTCTCGACAAGAATAAGAAGCGGGCTGGGGCTGAGTCTTGAGTCAGCAAAGATTTTCCATGCATCGGTGCTCATTTCCACTGAGCACTTAGGATGAACACCTTGGGCCTTGGAACGCTTTCAGCATTCGGCACGAAAGCACAACTACGTAGCTACGACGACGATTCCGAGAACAGCTGCTAGCTGCTACGCTGTTATGCCTCTCCAGATGAAGAGTCTTCCCAATCTAGCCTAGCAGAATCTACCGCTGCAGTGACGGAGTGCAGGATATACTTTATCATCTTCGCTCCTAACATTGCAAGCTCTCAAAGTTTGGGATTTGGACATAACCGAGTAGCTCCCCAGGCGAAAGATCGTAGGGTCGTACGGTCGTGTATTCATGCGGCCCTTAGAGCTCTAGGTCCTGTAGGTCCGATGCCTAGCCGCCCTAGCCCCCACTTGGACGTCATCTGGCGTCCAGTTTCAAGGCCCTTGGCTACTTACTACTTGTGCTTTGCCTGCTCCAGGCGTGGTCCGGAATCGCCAGGAAACTCCAAGCCTATTCTGAAACCTGAAGCCGTAAGCCACTCAACCGCTTCAAGTACGGAGTATAGACCGTTTCACCTACCAGGTTTACCGGATAAGCCATCACCCCTACCTGGGCCCTACCTGGTCAACTTAGTCTCTTAGTCTTTGCACTTTCGGGAAGTTTTCGCATCCTGGCATTTTAAAGGTTTCGGCTGCGCCTTAGAAAGCAGGCTCGGTCGTGCCACCGACAAGTCGCGAGCAGTCGCGAGCAAGAAAGGTCCGGACTTAGTTCGAGCTTGTGTACAATCCTAAGCCCAGGGCCCATGAACCCCCCAAAAAGGTCTCAACATATAGAGTCGGCAGAGCTTCAAATCCTTTCCGAAAACAGGTCCGTGCCCATAGAGTCTGACCAGAGCTTCAAGGCCAACCCCAAATCCGCAAACTCCTGAAGTCCATCCTAAAGGCCCTAAACTCGTAATCTCCTAAACCTCTTAACCCTTTGCGGCCTAAACTTTAAAGCCTGAAGCCTTTGAACCTAGAATACATAGCGCAATCTTTGCCCGTGCGGCCTGTGATTCGTGATTCGTGTACTGTTACTCTGCCTAATCTATAGGCCCATGGCCAGATTTTTTAATAATATGAGTGTGACTCTCAAAGTTTGAGGGTCGCCTGGGTAAGTTAGTTGTGTTTAGTTTGCACGTACAGCGGCTCGAATTCGGCGCCCGTGCCACGCAAAGGACAACAGCAGAACCGAAATAGCGATGCAGAAAACGTTCCAGTAAAGAGGTGGCAACACTTATTTGCAAGCCTAGCCGGGCCTAGCCGAATCCACATCACGAACACATGTAACAAGCATTGCCCAGTACGGCCTGCACACGCGTATCAGCCAAGATGAAAACAAGAAATTCGGAGGATCATTCATGCAATAGAACAAATCCGTGAGCAAGCTTTCCAGCCAGTGTTCAAACATCCGAGAACCCAGAGTCCAACAATTAACATGTTTTGACCAGCATTCAGACATATTCGTAAATGGAGTTTGGAAATATAATGAATGTGCAAATCAACTGAAAATTATTCGGAAAATATTCAGATCTTGATTTGGAAATAAAATATGTCTGGAAATCAAAGTGAAAAATATTCGGAAATTTTTCAGATTTGGATTTGGGAAAAAACAGCCATCGGAAATCAAATCGAAAAAATAACGAAAACCAAGTTGGAAATGGAATTGGAAAAAGAACCGGCTCAGAAAACAGATCGGAAATATTTCAGAAATAAATTGGAAAGAATTGAAATCCAGGATTCCTGGGGCAGGCAGGCAACGGACTTCTCAACTCTACTGACATACATGTGGTCAGTAGGACGTGGTACATAGCTTTCTTTTCAAAGCCGCAATAGTCGGCTACCGCCTTGGGAGGCGGTGTGCAGTAGTCCGGCGTGCCTTAATGGCCATTCTCGTACTCAACTACAAGTACGAGTATGTAGCGCCCGCTGAATAGTCGACTCGACTAGAGCATTCGAATGAAAAAATGACGACCCATCGCGGGAGTTGCTTCAGACACTGTCTTGGAAAGGCCGCACGCTGAAGGCGTCAGATGTAAGTCAGACCTTGAGCGACTGCTTCAGTCTTCTTGAAGGTTGAGCGGTAAATTGGGGGTGAAATGGTAGTCCCTGCCCTAGAGCCGGCACTGGCGGCTGCAACCCCCTAGGCCGGGGGCTACGCGTGGCTTTAGGTACAAGGGTAGAACCCAACAGAGACACAGGATGTCCCCCAGCGTCACCGACGGAAAAAGAAGACTGGCGTGCCATGCATCTTCTGTGTTTGATGGTCTCTGCATTCATGTTCCGTGTAGGCCCCGTTAGTCTGAAGTGAAGAGTGTCATCATGGAGCCTGCGACATGATAACTCTTTCACTTAGGCTAACAGTGAGCAACTTGCAAGTTCCACACGCATGTGCATGCCCGTGTTGAGTTTGTGCATGAGTGCCTTGTTCATGCGACGCGTGCTGCAAGGTTGTGGCATCACGGCTTGCAAGTAGAAGTAGTGTCTCGGGAGCATTTTGCTTCTCCCGCCCACCACGTCCCTGCAAAATGCGGGGTGAAGGTAGTCCCCTAGGGCCCGCACTGGCGGCTGCAACCCCCTGGGCCAGGGGCTACGCGTAGCTTTAGGGTAGAACCCAACAGAGACACAGGATGTTCCCCTGTATCACCGACGGAAAACGAAGACGGGCGTGCCATGCATCTTCTGTGTTTGATGGTCTCTGCACTCATGTTCCGTGTAGGCCACGCTAGTCTGAAGTGAAAACGGTTTCTTAGGCAGCACGAGTCCTCAAGCAACCGTCCAGCGGTCAGTAGCTAAGAACTAAGAATGTGAAACTCAGCGCCGAGGCAAGGCCTGAATGTACACATATGCACAACTCAGCTCAGATGCGTCATCATGTGCTACTGCGGGGCTCCAAGCCCTCAATATTTGAGCTTGGCAGATGCTGGCCACCAAAGACATATGCGCACACATGGAGGTGCGTGTGTTCTGTATACCATCAGGGGCCAACAACAGGCTGAGAAGCACGTCATCAGAAAACGAGTCGATGTCAAGGAAGCCTCGGGTCCGCAAACGGTTCGACCACTCATTCCTCCAGTGGAGAAACATGGGGCAGTCGCGCAGTGCGTGTATTAGGCTCCATTCACAGGACCCGCACAAGCAGGAGTGACATAAACCGCGGTGGCGGGCAGCAATCCCATCAATGAAGGGATGAGTGCCGCATCGAACAAGAGTCCACTCACTTACCACATGCCCTGGCTATCTGAAAGAATGAATATCTGAGTGAAAGTTGAGACAGGGATGACACAAAAGGAATAGTGCCAAAGAGCGAAGCTGTGCCACTTCAGCCTGACGAAGTTGGAAGCCAAGCTGATCCAGGGCCGTCCGGGCAAATCGATGTTTCCAACGAGCAAGGAACCGATAATCACAGCCAGGCACGACTCCGGCAACGACAGGCAAAGGTATACCCGCATTGCTCAGACCGCTCCGAACCTGATGCGCCCACGATGCTGTAATACCGAGAGCAAAACGAAAAACGCGAGCAGCAAGACCATTCGGGTCAGCTGAAAATAAACGGCCAAACAGGCTTGCTTGAGTTTTTTGGTTTCCGGGGAAAAAGGGGCCCAACCGAGTTCACCTAGGACTGCCGCACTTGGGGCACCAGCAGGCCAACCAAGTAAACGGCGACCCCATTGCCGCACTTACAGAGTCTCTGTACGTAGGGGTTGCCAACCCGAAATCCAATTTAGAGGGGGGGAGGGGGGGGGGGTCAGTCCTGCCGGCTATGAAGGGACTGGGATGAAGCGGTGGGGAAATAGGGAGTCCTTGTGGGAACCTCTGACCGCTTCGGCCGGGCCGAGTCGAATTTTAGTTTTTGGTTTGCTTGAGCTGAAGAATGGGCCCCATCAGCCAGCGACAGATTTTGACGATGCTTCCTTCCATTTTTGGCAGTGCCTAGCCAAACCAGCAAGGAGATGTTAAGGAGTGATGAGGTGGGTTGGTTGTAGGATTCGATACGTTCACGGCATTTGCATGGGCAGCAGCCTGCTGTCGGTCGGTCCAGCGTAAAAGCATCATGAGTGTCGCGTGTGCCTGTGCCGTGCAGCGTCCGGCTGGAGGCGACAAGCGAGGAGCTCAAGACCAAGCTGCAGTCTTCGGAGGAGGCTTTGCAGGAGAGTCGCATCAAGCAGTCCGTCGGCTCGAACAGCATACCACTCGCCTCCTGTCACGGATTCGCCACAGGACGCCAGGGCGAAAGCATTGCAGCATGCCCTTGCAGAAGAGCAGGTATGCCGTTGGGGGAAGGATGGAGCGTGTCCAGTCGGGTCTTGTCTGTTCACGTTCGGCGTGATGTTGCTGAGTGTGCTGCAGGTGCAGGTGAAGTGCGGCGAGAAGGTTGCGGAAGCGCAGGTAGAAGCGCAGGCCTTGCAGGCGGGGCGGCATGTCATTCGAGCCTGGTGTATCATATTGACACATTGAGTATGTCCGGCTTTCTGCGTTATGTTCGATATAAGGCCGCGAACGAGGCATTGCAGTCCCAGGTGAAAGAGCTTCAGACGCAGGCCTTTGTCGTTTACTGCCTGATTGTTGTTTGAGCAGTATACGCGGTCAGGTGGAAGTAACGCAGCAACAGCTCACGGCCGTGTCGCAAACCTTCGAGGCCGTAGGTGTGTGCATAAATAAATAAATGAATGAATAGATAAATAAGTGTGTATATATACATATATATATATATGTCTATATATATATATGTATGCATGCATGCAGGCAGGTAGGTATGTATGTA